CTATTGAGTTTCAAAACTGCGTGCGAGTCGTGATCGACTAATGCGGTAATCGGCTACATAAAAAAACACACACAGTAACTGATACTTCGAGTTTTTTAACTAATAAACATCTAATTACTATTACTACCTTGACTAAACGACTTAACAAAAAAAGTGTACATATTTTTCGAATTTCTTACTAAGATATTTTGCAATTTAAAATGTGGGTAATAAAAGTTGTCCTGGTACTCCTAAAACACATTTATAATTAATTTTAAAAGATAGACTATCATGGGTTTGTTTTTTAAATCATTTACTGAAGAATTATTCATTCTAAATATTTCTTTTGGTTCATGATCCGTTTTCGCAGCGGACACCCTATTCATTTTTCATTGTGTATGAGATTATCGCTTCTAAACAAACAAACTAACTCTTCAGCTGTATAATATTGGAATTCAATAATGGACCCTAACCTATGTATAAATTAGTATTAATCTCCTTATGTCCCACAGCTGGGCTCAGGTCACCACTCTTCTAACAAAGCTGAACCACCACGCTAGTCCAATGCTGATGGCAAGCTTTAACACCTACTATCTCTAAATTAGTGGTGTTATCCCCGTTATCGGAAATTACATCTTAGTCCTAACCCCGGATTAGAACACGAAATGTTCTTCCCTAAATTTCGGCCCGATCCGAGATTGGTATCCGGGACCTCAAATTCTACAAACGTAGTGGCAGTAGTACTAGCGAATTGGTGAAGTTTAAATAGGCAGCGATTGAGTTGATTTTTTAAAAGTAAATATTTTGGTAGCATTATTTACACTATAACTACTAGTAGATGAGAGATTTGGCAACAATAACAATTTAAGTATCAAATTGAAATTGCTTCTGATCGAGTGCTTCTACTTAAAACTTGCGGCTGTGCCAACTTCGACATCAACAGGTCTTGTCTTGGAAGGCTACGCTATGTTATTTACCCCATATCCACCTACACACATGTACAAAGATATACAATCTGTGCCCTTCGCGACCGAAACCTTTCTGTTTTCACGATTTATCCACCCTCCGGCGCTTAATATAAGACAGTTAGTTAGTTGACTACTTAAAAACCAACAATTACTTATACTCCTTTACTTCTTACAATTGATATACAGACTGAAGCCGAAAGACGACGGCTTTTTTATTATCTGCGTATGATGGTACACGAACTGAACAGACTGACAGACAAACGTGGGGCCACTTAATGGAGGTGAAACACTCCAGCTATATATATATATCAAACATCTAAACGAGTTGCACTATCTTCCTATTTTGGATTTTGATATTCGGAAATCCGCGCACCTTTTTCATCTGTCTATCATGTGGTACATGGTTTTAACAGAATTTCGACAGTCCTATTGTTATATAGATTAGATACACGTTGGACCAGGTGGGAATCGAAGCCTTTGAAAATTTAGGAATTTCGATATTTAAATAAAACACTTAAACGGTTGTATATATATATATATATAAAGATATTTTTGGTTAAACTTGTTTGAATTTTTCTTTCTTGCCGTCTCTCCATGACCACGGCTACTGCTAAGTGTCAGAAATGTCGGGCCGTAGTTAAAAAATTTGTTTAAACAAGTTTAACTACAAAATATCGCGTTTTAAACCGTTAGTGTTTTATTTAAGTGTGTACTACACGCGTGAACTACAGACAGTATTTAACCCATGATATCCACGCTCGATACCAGGGAATAGCTAACCCGTGTTTCTGTTTCTTTGGATCAGTGAATATGGCTCAGAGCACACAATATAAGGTCAACATGAGTCAGTGGACGAAGAATCTAAGTGATATTTAATAGTGTTTTAATGTTGCGCCATTAAGGACCTTTTACGCTGACATCGAAACGCATTGATAGCGTACGCGGAGTTGTATCAGTTGATTCGGACCGTTTTATATACAGAGTGGGGTGTTTGTCGCGGCCTTTCGAATTTTAATATGAGAATAAACATTTAAATAAAACACTTTAAACGTCGTAAATATTTTATTTAGCAGGTCGTGTTTATAGAATAAAATAAATATAATAATTCATAAATAAAGAATTTTAATGATGAATCAACAATCCTACTTCCCACTAATATTATAAACGTGAAAGTTTGTATGTGTGGATGGATGTTTGTTACTCTTTCACGCAAAAACGACTGAATGGATTTCAATTAAACTTTCCAATAATATAGCTTATACATCAGAATTACATATAGGCTACAATTTAAAAACGATATTGTTGGAGCTGTCCAAAATATGACATTAAGTGTCAAGTAATTAGGAAAAAACCTATATTTCTGCGAGCTATACTGGCGTGCGCTGCCACAAACGTTAGTTACACATAATTATGTAATGTATGAAATGATAGACATTATTTAGTTTAAATGCGCGATACTACGTAATCGTAATACTGGGTAGACGAAGTCGCGGGCACCAGCTAGTTTAATAAATAAAACAACGCATCTAGAGACGATTGATCGATTGTCTATCGTTTTAGAACATATTTTATTAACGCAGGGCAGATTTTGAGAATTGTCATTTAAATAATTTTCACGCTAATCTCACCAGTGTGGGTTCAAATCTTGCCTGTGTTGTCAATTTTTACATCGTTAAATCCTTTGATGTTTATAGAAACATCAATAAGCCACCTGCCGATTAGGACGAACAAAGACTATTTGTATAGACTATAAACAGGCTCGACTCGTACCTAGAAGCTATTATAAGGAGGCTGTTCTTCAACTAAGTACTATTTATAAACATGACAGGCTAGGGGTAGATCAGTTTAGTGTTATTTCTTTACGCTTTATAGTTTTATGAATTAATCTCTAATCTATATTTATAAATGAATTCAACTTTGTTTTAGAGATCTTATTTTAAATCAATGCCAGGCCATTTGTTTTGTGATTGTTTAGTAATTGTTGTATTGCGTTTTTTAATTACAAGTTAACTCTTTCTGGTGCGTAGCAGGAGTCCAGAGCAAAAATATTTTAGGTATCGTGGGTCTGTTTTAGGAAGTAAGAAACACGTCAAATTTCATTGGAATTTACAATACAACGCAGTGGCTCCGTGCATATATTTTATACATTATATTTTTCGTATAAAAACGCCTGAATTTCAAAGGGAAAATAGTTCTAACAATTGCTCGGATGTTAAGTATCTACATATGTATATACTAGTTTGAAAATTTTTATTATTTGAATCCTTTAAATTAATTACCGCCCATCTACGACTTGTTGCAAGCGAGCGCATTGATTTCCACGCCATTTTCCACCGACACGCAATGCAGTACAAATTGAACAATTTGAATACCTTCCACCGGCGTTATCGTTGGAAGTGGCGTAAAAACCACCTTTTACGGCGTTCATTAAACCGTTTTAGAATTACGTAACTCACTAGCTACTAGGGAGCGCAACAAGTAAACTACAATACGTACCCGCTTCTGTTCACATTTTCGTCCAATTATTTGGTTACTTGTGACGAAAGCCTTAGGAACCGCATATCGGAACTTTTTTCGCGCGACAGATGTTTTAATCGTTTGCTGTCGTTCTATTTTTAAAATTACCCCGAATTGTGTTCTGAGGGATTCAACGCGATCGCGGACTACGTCCGGGGGCGGTCGGCTGCTCTTTGTGATGAGGTGGTGGATGGCGCTTGCGTGCGATCGATCCGCCCAGCGAACGACAGCCGAGGGCGGCTCAGTTGGACGCAGAGACGGCGGCCAGACACTTGTTTGAATCAACCCAACGTCTCATGAAATATTCAGGGTGACTGAATGCGCAATTCACAGCTCGGCACTTCCAATAACGATTTATCTTTGCTTGCACTTGCAATACGTAGTAGTGCCAAAATAGGTCAAGAGTTCGACTTGACTGACGAGATTTTTATGACAGCCGCAAGCACGGGGTTTATTTCATGAAAGGTGAAAAACCTCAATCATATAAAATGTACAAGATGCGTTGTGAACTTATTTAGGCTAGAGACATTTAGAAATCCACTAAACCGAAACAAATTTAATTATAACACCTTTGTCACCTATGGTTTGTGACTCGTACAGAATTGCTATATGCCCACCACGCATTCATTATTCACTAGTGTGTTTTAGAAAAGTTATTCTTATAAACATGTTAGACTCAATGGATATCGAACTGACGATCCAGGCCCCATAAAGGCCAAAACAGCTCCATTAAAATTTTAGTAAAAATTTCCTTGTTTCGAGTTTAGGACCTCTATTAAACGCAAGTTAGTAACAATCGTATGATAACAGTCATAAGCATCGACATTAAAACTTTTTGCGCATTCAAAATTCATCACGACACCGAAAAATAACCGAGCGTAACTAACGGTACTGTTTTTAAATAATACAACTTAGCATTTGTACTGACGTAATTAAGCCGGCGAAGGTTACATATTTTAACTATGACTTCAACATCGACAGCTGAGTTTTTTTTTAAAGCATTAACATGTGAAAAGATATAACGAATTACCGGGAAAGAGATACTAGGACATAAAATACAAGAAATATAATTTGTTTTTATTAAAATAAGAGCAAATGTTATCAATACTGTTACGATTTAATATCAATGATTGGAGTAATGTTTCAAATGCCTAAATGTTATTTAAAAAAATTGTCTACCTATTCTGGAGCTCTGCAGACAGAGAACGCCCTTTAGTGTTTCATTAGAAATTATTATATGCCTGTTACAAAATTATATAGCTATATGTGTCGGAGGTGGTATACATTGCTTTGTAAACACCAAACACAAACCAACACACGTCATATAGATAGATACATGCTCAAAGTTATAATATTAAAGATATTATAGTATTTTTTTCTTACACAATAAGAAAAACAAAACCACAATTATATATGCTGAAAATGATGAATACCATTGTACATAAATTAAATAAAAAATAATTTTAAGTAAATTAACAGTACATAGAAGTCCAATTATAATTTATTAATAAAAAGTGCTAAATTATTACAACATACCTGATGATAGAAGATGCACATGTTCCTGTGATGGCACATTCATTTCTCCTTCCTTATCTGAAAAAAGAAACCAGTAAGAATTTATTTTATGGTAAAAAAAAACTTTTATATTAAGTTACTGCATTATAGCTTGTTTGGGCTCTTTGTATAAACCACATAGTTACATCAACAAAAAAACAGATATGAACTATAAGCTATCTATGTACTTTGCTTCAATTGCAATTGTAAACATGCTTAATCAAGTTACCTTAACTTGAAGTTGTTTTTAAAGAAAAGTCTAAGATTAGTAAGTTAGTCCTCATTATAAAACAGATAATTCTGAAGTTTATTCACTGTTTACAGCGAGCACAAAACTTATTATATTATAAATTTCATCATTTGTAAGGTTTCCTCAGAATTAAATTTGCAATATAACAAAGTTTAATGAGAAAATTGACGGCAATAATACAGGGCTATAAGACTTGGCCTATAGCCAAGTGTAAAAAATTCGAGATCATTATGCAAATTATAAATATTACAGTCGTATTATGTCAATGTTAACACAAAGATTACACAAACATTAGTACCAACGATGTTTAATTACGAAACATGTGAAAAAGTTATAAGGCACAAGTATACTTACTTAACACCTAGAACTTTACCGAACACAATGCATCGCGCGTTCAGGCGGATATTTTACGCAATCCTCTTGCACGACATTATCTTAACAGGCACCCGGAAAGTTTCGAACAATGGGATCTAAATTTTATGCGAAAATACACTTTCACAATCAATTCAAAGATAGCCACCTACACAAAACAATAAACAGTTATACCACTCTTTGCACGGAAAAACTTTAAACAACCACTTTTCCTCGTTACACTTGAGTAAGTTTCATTGATAAGACACGTTAAATCACGCCATAAAACAGTTTATGAAGTTATTAAAACTCTATGAAAACTTTTAAAACTTTTATGAAATGTCGACGACTTCACTCCTAAAACTAACTTTAGACATTTGACATGAAGATATTAATAACAGATTATTATTATAGAACTGTTTCATTTGGTTACAGACTATAACCGTTTTTTGTACTGGTAACACTCATCGTAACAACATAAAATCAAATAAGGTAAAATTAAGGGAATAAAAACTTTAAGCAAGCTTTAGTGTATTGCTTAGTTAAAAATGTAATTTTAAACAATATTTTATAAATAATGTTCTTAAAAATAAACTGTATAACATGGATGTGATGTCAATATTTAAAACGGCATGCATGATTAAATATGGCATTATTTCTTTTTTTTTTTGTTTTTATCAATATACAAGTATTCTGGTTCTTTTTGGCAGAAAAAAGCCAATGGTCTATTCCATTAATGTGAATAGTTATAGGAAAACATGAAAAAGTATTTTTCGTAAAAATAATTTTATTGATTTCTCTTCTAGTGACTGAAATATTTCGTCTTGAAAATTTTACCACACTTTGGTTATTAGGGTAACAATATAAAGAATAGATCTACATAAATTCTTAAAAAAAATCACTTCTTACACATTTGTATATATTAATTATTTAAAGGGCTTAGCGAGCTTAATACCCTTTTAACAAGTAGAAACTGATTTACTATCATAATCCAACACTATATTACATCTTAAATTCATAATAATTTTACAATATATTACTAAACACTAATTTTAAGTTTATTTGCCTCCCTTTTTGGTGTCCGATGGGATTTTCTTCTGTCAGTTAAGTCGAAAATACTGATATTATCTTATATTAAGGTAATTTTAATTTCTACATTATTCTTAAATTACTTCTTATATATGTTTATTAAAATTTTGTGCTGCTCATTATTTTATATTATTAATAAGAAATTCTTCCTCTTGTGCATACAGCATAATATAATTTTGTATATAGCGTCATCTAGTGTATCTTGTCAAGACAACATGTAAACAAACCAGTAATAACGAATCTTACTGTAGCATTTGTAATAATATATTATGGATTTTGTTATAATAATACTAAATAACCAATAAATTGATTAATTACAGCGGTGAAAAATCCCGTATTTTCTCTATATAACACAATTTTTTAAAAACTTACAAAGCAACATCTTTATACTTAGTCAAATCATCCGATTCATTACCAACAGAAGTATGACTATTGCGCATAGCGTAAAACCTGTCTCTATCCCTATTAAAGTGGTAGGGATCATGTCTAAGAAGATTGACTCCATAAGCGGCATCTTCCCGCTTAAAATCTTGGAAGTATCTCGGGTCGTATTCTGGGGGGTATATCCTCGGATCGTAGTAGGGTCGATACGGATAGGCCATCTCGCTCTTGCAATCCATTCGGTCGTCGTCGTATTTCGTCGGGTACTCGTCGAATGCTCCTACTACGGAATGTCTTCTTTTGTATGGGTTGTCAGTTCTGGGACCGACCCATGTGCCGAATTGCGGGTAGTGCTTCGGGTAGTCACGGAGGGACGCAGCATACTGCCGATCAGCGAGGTGTTGCCAGTATGCGGGCGGAGGCTGTGGCAGCATTATTGGGTATCCCATGTTTATGGACTGGTGGGAGGCCAGGTGTCGACGGAGGTCTGGCATTGAGCCGGATTTACCTAAAACAAAGGTTTATGGATAAAGATATAATTCTTCAAGACAGAATGCCTCAGGAATGATCGAGGTCCCATTGATTGAAATGTTTTTGTCGTTCATTTCCTTTTCGCGCTCGGCGGAGCAGCCAAAAAGGACGTCGGGGACGAGTGTCGTGGGTCGGTCCCCTTCGAGTCCAACATCTTTCTATTCAATTAATAATTTTATTAAAACACGTTAGACTGGAAACTTGGATATTAAATTAAAGGTACAGTAAAAGCCAGTTCATTGCGTTTTGGTTCCAATCCTTTGGACTTCCGAATAACCAGAGCTAGAATAAGTTGACAGTAATTTCACCTTCCATCAAGTGAACCTTTAAATTTGTCTGTCCTATTCTGTCACGAAAAAAAACGCAAAGAAATAATTTTGGTTAAAAATTGCATAGGTGGAAAAGGCTGGATTAACCTACTACGTTGTAAATACACCGATCGACCAAACAGTTACAGTCCAAGGCCCAGATGGGGCATTTCCTTAAATATACTAGCATCTGCAAAAATAAGAACGGACTAACTATAGTGCTGATTTAAAGAAGTTCGATTTTGTTTTTAATAGGTCTAAATATTCATTGAATGTTAAATAATTACCATTATCAGCTAAAATGCCTTCGTTAGTGAAGGCCGGCGTTGCATCTGGTACGTAATGGCTGGCATCGAATTCGCTCCCGCTGACACCTGCGCCCGCGCCGTACTCAGCTTTTCTGAAACATGTATAGTCATTCTTAACACTCGCATTATGAAGTAGTATTTCTAGTTACCTTAAAGAACTTTGTTTGTTTAATGCAAAGTAGAACGGACTTACCTAGCTTCTCTGAGCGCGTACGCAGACTGTACGAGAACAACTCCGCAAACGATGGCCGGCAGACGAGCGACATAGCACGCTAACTCAGCACCACCGTACACTCCTTGAAGACCCTGAGAATTAAATATAAAAGTTAATTATTATTAATACTTTAATTTTCAATATAAATTTATTTTATTATTAACGCGCATTAAAGATGAACACTTTTAATAATATAAAAGCTTAAGACAATATAGTATACAGAAATATGTAAATAATATTTGCTTTGTGAAAGAGAATCAAATCTGCGACACTTACCCAATGACTTATGGACATATAGAAGACTAGAGCACACTCCGGTATTAAAACTAAGATCACTGATATCAACCACGCTAGAAGATATGTGTTGTTTTTCTGAAAAAAAAATAAACAAATAAAAGATTACAACAGGTAATTTGAAATGAGACATGCACGAAAGGTATTGTTCGAGCTAGCTCAAAAGTCTGATCAACACACAGACAAGTGTTCGCCCGAAGCTCAATAGACGAAAATGAAATGATCACTATTTTTGTATCTTTACGACAGTGAAAGAATCATAACGCGAATTAATATACCACGGCCTCAACGTGGTTCCTGGACTACTGGATATGCCTGCCACCTTCAAAATGTTTGTCAGACATTAGTGTGGAAAAAAAACAAAACCAAAAGGTGGGAAAATGACGCTTGACAATCATAATCGTGAAGGTCTCAATGTTCATTCTTAGCAAAACATTATTTCCCAACATCCTCCTCTAGAGTAAAAATCGCCATATCAAAATAGCTTAACACCATTTTCACTTAATCTCAAGTGATAAGCCAGTCATGCGAGGGTTTGTTAACAATCTGTTGTTGCTGTCTTCACCTTATCACTATGCAATGCTTACATTTTGATTAAACTAATTGTACACTGGAGCAGCATTATACCCTGGGATGCATTGAGAAAATCAACTGGAGGATTCAAGAATAATTAGACTGTGGTAATGTATATATTACCACGTCTACTTATACTGTAGGGGTTACAGACGAAACTAGAATTACAGGCAATTTATTTATTTTTTAATCTGTACTATATGTTTAAGAATAATCTTCTTAATTTTTTGTCTTTTTAATTATTTTACATTGCTTATACAATTTATTATACATCATTTGTCAAGATATCTCTTTTTTCGACATTGTTCCTAAGATGTATGTATGATTGCTACATTGTATATTTTTATTGTATATTCTTCATTGTTATGTTAGTATATTCTTTAAAAACCTGAAAATATACTTTGTTTTGAATACACATCCGCGTGAACCATCACGAACACACGATTCCTGTTTTGGATCCACATTGTGTATTTCTGAATGACCAAAGCCTAAATGAGAAGGGTACTGTATCTTCCATCAAGTCCTGAGTGCTTGCCTGTCCTAAGTATTAAATAACGAAAGATTTTTTACTCACAGATATAAGACCATGTACTAGGACGACTGTGGCTGCTATGACCACGCAGTAGCAGATCATGAGCAGCGCGGAAGCTATTGGCAGGCCACTCTCTGACTCCACCACCCACACTATTTCATAAATCAATGCTATTGCGTATGACACCTGAAAATGAAATGTTCATATTCTTATGATTCCACTTTCACAATGCTTGGACGGTTGAAAGGCACCTGCTCTATCAAGTAAATTTAAAACACTTGAGTGTAAAGACAAAAGAAATTAGAGAAGAAGTAGGAGTCTTGCCAGTTCTTTTCGTTGACTTTCAAGAGTTGGTAGTAAAAGTATATCTAGTTATCCCCATAAATACATACATTTCGATTTCATTCCATTTGTAAATGTATATTTATTTGAAACTAGTGTTTCTGTTAAGTAATCTCTAACTTACAAACAATACAGGAATCATATTTTAAAAAATAGTGCACCAAAAAAAATTAGGTTATGTATACAACATATGGCTAACTAAAGGACATTTTTAAGTTTATATAATACACCAATATCCATAGCTTAATTCGCTCAGTAGGTTAGTTATTACGTTCTGTTGAGGTCTATAATATAATAATGAAAAAGTGCTTTTCTATACTAATTTTATATATTAGCTTCAAGAGTTCGTTTGTTTGTTTGACACGCTAATTTCAGGAACTACTGGTTCAAATTGAAAATAATCTTTTTGTGCGGGGAGGAAGGCTATACACATCAGGCTGCGACCAAAGAAGCAAAGAAATAATGAAAAATGTTACAAAAAAATCGAATTTTTATATTCATTTTTGTTGCTGTGAAAAGGTCTAAATAACTAAAAAATATCTACGATAAATTCATTTCCCTTCAAATGGACTAAGTGTAAAAAAGATACGCGACCAATATACGTATATTGGTCTATCTTTTAAGATTAACTCGCTAGAACGACGGGACGCGACGACGTCGTGGGGACAGCTATAATGTATAAAGATGAAGAGGTAATCTTGTTGACCAAAGTAACTATTCTACGCGGACTAAATCCAGGCACAGGTAGTAAGATATATGGAAACGCATATCGTTCGAGTCGGAAGAAACAATGCGTAGAATAGAAGGGTCTACCGGCCGACCAGTCCACGCTAAGGCCAAGTCTCACGAAGTTACGAAACGGTGAGAGCTCGGAATGCTTAACAAATCTATTATGAATTAATTACTTATATTACGTTTGCCTGGAAGTAGGTATCTGGGTTATGACTTCTGATACGATTTCTTGTTAAATATAGTCGAAAATCATTAATCAAATATTTCTCAAATGTATTAAATTATTATTTGACCGCGACTTCGCCCGCGTGGAATATAAATTTTGAGACTCATATTATTTATTTTCGTAGAAAACTTTCAAATTTGAACCAGTAGTTCTTCCAGTGTCCCATACCAAACGTATACCATATTAGTGACGCCTTTTATTCGCGTTTTAAACCGTTACAAATGTTGTATTTAAATGTGTACTATTCATGTAAACTATACACAAACACTTTTCTTATTATAATGACTCCCGATACGTACTCCCAAGAAGATGAAGTGTACTCACAGCTGAGACTTGAACTTTGTCAGACATTCTCAGAAATTTACCCACCATACCTATATATCTTAAATGTGTTGAATTCATAAACATATACTAAATCGTACTTACAAGTGCATAAGCAGCAATAAACCCTGATGCAGCAGTCACGCTGCAGCAGAATATCCTGCTGACAGCCGGCTTCATCCTAAGTTTGGGAGTGGAATCTGTCTCATCACTTAATTCGTTACTCGACGACATTTTGTAAAACTTCCAATTTCCTTACATGCAAATAAAACCGACGTGTTTCATTGTAATTTATTAATGGTACAGGTCTAATTTCTACATCTTTGGGAAAATAACTCGATATCTGAAACAAAGGCATAGTTATAATTAGTGTTTCATTATGTTACAAGATAATTATTATCTTTTGTGATGCAAAACTACAATAATAATATCTTTGAGGTTTCGTATAGATTGCAAATATACTGAAGCCGTTAAATAAACATAATAACATTAATAACTTTACATGTTGTGCCTGTCTGTAATTGTTAAACACAAATTTGTTTTTTTTTTACCTATTTAATGCTTAAGTTACGTGAAAATACAATCTACTCAATTAAGTTGTTGCCTATAGTCTAGAAATTTGAATAAAACACTTTAAACGGCTTAAGACGCGAAATATATCAGCTAATTTATATTTAATGTAACTATCCCAACGTCTCGGATGTATTTATGTTTCAGGTGTATATATGGACTGTTTTATCTACTATTTTTATTCTACTCTTTGCGTAACTACGGCATAAGAACAAATGTCACTACCTAAAGAATTGCCCCCTCAGAATTCAATTCTTTCTAAGAATCCCCTGACATCCTGAGAAAATGGCTCCGCGAAATTAACTATTATTACTATAAGTAATATTGGTACGATGAGAACTCCACATGGGAACTATTGTACAATTAACTTTAAATGCAAATACAACATAATTTACTGTTTACCTGGCACAACAGGGCGTTAAATTGTAACTGTTGTTCTTAATAGACCATTTAATTAAGCGTTACTGCGATTTGCTGACAATTACTACTGACATAGCATCTAGATAGTGCAAAGTTAAGTTTTAAAATTACCACGCTATTAAGTGGGTTATAACATAAAGGATTACCTGGTCTCGAAAACCTGCTTTAGTTGCGTGCAAGATTAATATAATTGATACAAGTCTAAAAAATCATTGGTGAATTCACTAATTTTAACCAAATAACCAAAAAACGAAAAAATGATTTTCATAAAACAGTTTTTTTTAGTTAATCTAAAAAAATACACACGCATTTTTTTAGATTGCTTAAAGAGGAATCATTTTTTCATTCATACTTTTTGTTCCTTAAACCGTTTTTGCAACTTACGTAACGATAGCCGGCAAAAAAAATCTTTTTCTCGTTTTTTTACATTTTCCACGGTTTCTCGATTTACGATTTTTATTTTTATATTATTTTTTTTGCGAAAAGGTGCCTCGATGCATTAGCAGACCATAGACACTTTTGTCTCCTCTATTTCAAAGTGGTAAGATAATAAAGATAAAATATCAGTTAACGAATCTAGTAACCCATGGATTGACCCTGAAAATTCGGTGAATATTCGGCGTGTAATCGTACTTATCGAACCTACTTAAATTGTAGGCCATTGTTTATTGTTTTGTGTATACCGGCTGCAGTTTACGCGAGTAGTACATATTTAAATCAAACACTTTAACGGTTTTAAACGCGACATCTTTCATTTTAAATGTTTTTAACATAAAATCTTTTACAACATTCATTGTCTATTTATTGACCAACGAGCCCGTCAAATTCCGCAATTTTTAAGGCGTATCAAACTATATAAATGTTTAAAAGTTAATACACTCAGCGACTACTATTCAACAGACTTCCTGATCAATTACTTAATTACAAAGACAATGACGCGAGAGTAAAAGCTATAGAAAACACAAGTTCAATCGTTTACTTTCACATAACATCGACTTCCTTTACGAGAACTGGCTAGGAAATGTCAAGACTACTATTAGAGATTTGTGAGCGATAACTGATTTTATCCAATATGCAAATTATTGTTACGTAATGGGGAAAACACTTATATATACTACACAATACCATCTATACTGTATGCAGATAATAGATACACGATGCTATTCTCGGACCTGTTGCTCTTTGGAACACTCTGTAGAATCACGACCAACAGACAGACAAACATTGATTTTCTTTTTTTGGCGAATCTGAATGAGTTTTAAAATTTAAAAGAAAATAAAATATATATTTTATTTGATTTTATTTGGAAATTAATACGATACAACGTGCCTTACAAACCATAGTAAAAGTGTTCTTCTATAAAAAGGTTTTTCTAAACCCAAAATATACCGACACCATATCTTTAGTTGATGGCTGTTTCACCTTCCATGAGGTGAAAGCCTTACTTATGTCTTTTGTCGTTAAAAAAAATATTTTGTTTATTAAGTTAATTAATTTTGCTATCGTTTTATATCAACTTGGATACTAACGAATGTAAGCTGATGCTATCTAAGTATTGTTTGTCGTTTATGCGAGTAGTACACATATATATAAAACACTTTTAACGGTTTAAAACGCGAAATTGATTAGTTAACTTATTAAAAATAGATTTTAAATACGGCCCTATATTTCGGAGGACGAAATAAAGTGGTATATTTTAATTTATTATAATGTCTGCAAATAATTTAACTAAGCGTATCACGTTTTACACCATTACAAGAGTTTTATATAAATTAGATGGTAACTATTAACCTAAATCGAAGCCCAGTTCCTCCCAAAATGGAATGGTGCAGTAAAAACGTAGATTCAACAGTTATTCATACTTCCGTACAGTATTATGGCGAAGCACGTGAGAGGAAAGTGGAGCCTTTGTGTGGAGTTCGTTGGTGCTGTCTAGGGACCTCAGTACGTGATCAGCATACAAGCAACCGTTCTATTCTACCACACAAGACACGGTAAGGTTTAGTACGACGTAAGACAATCTATGCGCTCCTTGGTACGGTTTTGACGAGCTCGTTGGTATGGTAGTGATATGTGGCATTTTTCTAATAAATTTATAATTTTTAGGAATATCGAAAGTTCGTCCGGGTCACGAACCCACCGTCCACGAGATGAAAAATATTATACGCGTGTCTGTTTCAGTCTGTGGCTTTCCGAATATCCCGACCGGAATTATAGGAATAAAAGGAAAAAAAAATTTGGGGGGGGGGGGATCCCCTTAACCAAAGGGGGGGGAAAAAAAAAGTTCGGGGGCCGTAAAAAAAAAATTTAATTTAAAAGGTGGGGAAAAAATTTTGTGCTCTGCCCGATCGAAATAATTTATCATTCCTCGGAATTCGAACCCATTTCATGCTTAAATAGGCAACACCTGAGCTATTAACCCACGGAGGTGTTTATAGTAAAATAACTTACTAAACGAAATTAATCCTTGTAATCATTTTCAAAATGCCAAACTAATGACTAAGAGAACTGAGGTAGGTCGCTAAAACTTGTTTTTACGAATAGACTATAATATATCCATTCATATATTTACATTCTATTATACAGTATGCATAGTATCATGTATCTACTCATACCGTTAGTATACATATACATTTCTCTGTATATAATAGGTATGTGCATGTTAACAGACCCGCATGGCGCGATTTTTACAGTTTCCAATTTGGGTTTAAAGTGAAATTAGAAAATTCTAACAATAAGACTTATTTTAACTTTGAATGCTTTGGAGCAGTCGTGGTAATGGGGGGGACTTTTACGTTTTGTGGTTTAAACTGCTAAAAGTGTTTTATTTTAATGTATACTAGCGTAAACTACAGACAATATCTAATAAGTTAATAAACCCTTACTAGAAAGTATTTTTTTCTAATTAGTGCCTTCATTACATAGTATAAAACAAAGTCGCCTTTTCTGTCCCTCTGTACGCTTAAATGTTCGTCTCGATTGCTCGTTCAAACAAACAAATCAACTCTTCAGCTAGCATTAGTAAAGATTAGCCTTGCATCATTTCTGGGTCATATTAAACATTTGTTACGAAGTATCTACGTATCTAAAGAATATATAGTTAATTACAAACGCGTCGCTGACCACAAAAACCTGTGATATCGTGATCAGACGTAACAAGATTTAAAAAAACAAGAACTGTTATCCAACGACACGGCTTCCGTGTGTTGCGTTCAGAATAAATCAATTTACGGGTTATTGTTGTATATTTTCAATTTATATGTTAGACGATTGTTGACAGGGCCGGATTTAGGTAGGCCTACCGTCTCCGTCTCGGGGCCTTCACAAAACAAGGGCCCCTTATATCAGAGATTTCGGAAAACCTTCCAATTCTGGCTAATAAATACCAGTAGGCAACTGTTTCTTTGATTGTTTTTTTTTATATTTTCTAATTAATGTAATTAAACCGTTAAATGCTACCGTTTCAATTGGTCACAGCAATGGCACGGAATGCTGTCTATGCCGGTTCAAATCCTGTCCGTGTCGTAATTTTTTTAATCTATTTTTTTATTTATATAATGCCATCCATATGTGCATATGAACATGACCAATATTACATTTTTCATTTTTTTAAATATTATTCTTAATTATAACCAGAAATCAAGATACTTTATCTAAATCCGACCCTGATTGTATACTACATATAATCTCCTAAATTATTTTTATTTTAGTCATACGGGTACCAGTTCGTAAGTTATTTTATGTTAGTTAGTTTTTAGATGGTCTATAAATAGAAAAGTATAACTTACATAGATATAAAATATTTCCTTCCAAAGTCCTTACAGTATTGTTTATGGTTACATAACTAATTTACTATATTTGTCCTTTACAATGCAATTTTATATTATAAAACAAGTATGTATAAAATACCGGTCCTTATAAGAATGCGTAATTGTTTATTTCGCTTTAAGTTCGCCTAAATCGTTGTTTTAATCCTTTTTGGGTTTCGATATTATTCGCACCGGATCGTAAACTTAATTTTTCTTATGTTACCAAGTTGAATTTTTTTTTCCGTTAATAAGACTCGCTAGTATTAATAAGAAGTAAAATAATATATATAAGAAATATATTTAAATAAAGAATCTTTTATATTTAAGTCATAAATTTAATATTAAGACACGTAAAAGACTTAAATACTAATATAATAAAATAAAACCAAAATCAAGATGGACTTACGAGCATCGACTTGGAATGCCATGGGCTAC